TCATATTCCAGTTTTGACTATTCTACAAGGGTTATTTTTTATTTTTATTTATTTATTTTTTGAGATAGTATCGCTCTGTCACCCAGGCTGGAGTGCAATGGCACGATCTTGGCTCACTGTAATCTCTGCATCCTGGGCTCAAACTATTTTCCTGCCTCAGCCTCCCAAGTAGCTGGAACTACATGTATACACTGCCATGCTGGGCTAATTTTTTTTGTTGTTGTTGTTGAGACAGAGTCTCGCTTTGTCGCCCAGACTGGAGTGCAGTGGCCGGATCTCAGCTCACTGCAAGCTCTGCCTCCTGGGTTCACGCCATTCTCCTGCCTCAGCCTCCCGAGTAGCTGGGACTACAGACGCCCGCCACCTTGCCCGGCTAGGTTTTTGTATTTTTTTTAGTAGAGACGGGGTTTCACCGTGTTAGCCAGGATGGTCTCGATCTCCTGACCTTGTGATCCACCCGTCTCGGCCTCCCAAAGTGCTGGGATTACAGGCGTGAGCCACCGCACCCGGCCTAATTTTTATACTTTTTGTAGAGACAGGGGTCTCCCTATGTTGCCCAGACTGGTCTTGAACTCCTAGACTCAAACAATCTGCCTGCCTCATCCTCCCAAAGTGCTAGGATCACAGGCATGAACCACCCTGCCCAACAAGATTAAAAAAAAAAAAAATTTTTTTTCGTTTTGAAATTCCAAACTTGCCAACATCACTCATGGCTTCTCTATTTCAATCCACGGCACCCACATGTTCCAGATATTTTTGGAAAGCAGTACTCCTCGGTTCACAAATCTTAATGGTTTCTTTTTGCCCTCAGGAGAACACTCAAATTCCTTTTGACTGGCACTCAAGGCTAATTACATCTTACTCCAACTTAGCTTTGGGGCCTCATCAACCACTACTCCTCTATGCAAAATTTCTGATCCGTCCAAATGAATCTCCCTATCGCCTCAAAAACACACCCCTCACATTATTTCATTTTAGGAAAATTCTTCCTAATTTTTCTTCACCAACATGAATTATTCAAGGTCTAGCTCAAGTGACATTTTATTCTTACTGTCATTTTGGATAGCAACACACTTTGAAAACCATTAGATAGTTCTTAATATTGATGGCTAAGATATTGTTAATTGCTGTTGTGAGGCATGAGCACAAAATGAGATGGAGTTGACAGGAAATATAGTCACTATCCTTAAACCACAAATTTTACATTCCTAACTAATCTCCTTGAAAAGCAATGACCAGCATTACTAATCTCTCTCTCCATCTCACCCTCCTCATACACCCAGCATTTGCCCAGAACAGATATTCAATCTGTCAACTGACTGATACCAATAGCTACAATCAGAATAGGGAAGGCAAAAGAAAGATTAAAGGAAACTGCTGGTGGACATCAACCACTAACTAATCAAAGGGATGTCAACTTCTCCATGTTTCAGTTTTTTCAATTATAAAATGTAGATAATAATGCTACCTCAAAGGGCTATTCTAAGTATTAAATACTACTTCATATGTGTTGTGAACTTTGAAGTACCATACCAATATCTGTCGCTACTTCCCTCAAGTCATGATGCGGAACTAAGACTTGAGACAATGAAAGGCATCTGGGAGGCCAGGCGTGGTGGCTCACACCTGTAATCCTGGCACTTTGGGAGGCCAAGGTGGGTGGATCACCTGAGGTTGGGAGTTTGAGATCAGCCTGACCAACAGGGAGAAACCTCGTCTCTACTAAAAATAAAAAACTAGCTGGGTGTGGGGGCGCATGCCTGTAATCCCAGCTACTCGGGAGGCTGAGGCAGGAGAATCGCCTGAACCTGGGAGGCGGAGGTTTCAGTGAGCCGAGATTGCGCCATTGCACTCCAGCCTGCGCAACAAGAGCAAAACTCTGTCTCAGGAGAAAAAAAAAAAAAAAAAAAAAAGAGAGAGAAAGGCAGCATCTTGGAGACCAAACATGTCCAAAACAACTCGATTTCCACCTCTTCAAACTTGTTCCTTCCTCATCTTCCAAGTCTCGTACCCATACACCCAATTATTCAAGCTGAAAACTTAAAAAGGCATCAATTCCTCTATCTCCTTCACTTCTATATACAATATGTATTTTTAACTGAGACAGCTTCTTCCTCTATCATCTAAGCTGGAGCACAGTGGCACAATCACAGCTCACTGCAGCCTCAACTTCCTGGGCTCAAGTGATTCTACCACCTCAGCTTCCTAAGTAGCTGAGACTACAGGTGTACGCTGCTATCCCTAGCTAATTTACTTTTATTTTTTGTAGAGATGGGGTCTCATTATATTGCCCAGGCTGGTCTCAAACTTTTGGGCTCAAGCAGTCCTCCCACCTCAGCCTCCCAAAGTGCTGGGATTACTGGCGTTAGCCACAGCACCTGGCCCTATATTCAGCTTTTCAACCCTGTCAGCTCTACGTCTAACACCCTGTATCCATTTACTTCTCTAAATAAGTACATTTGACCAAGTTCCTATGTTAAAATGGCTTTCCTTGGCTGGGCACAGTGGCTCAGGCCTATAATCCTAGCACTTTGGGTGGCCAAGGTGGGAGGACTGTCATTGGCCAGGAGTTCAAGACCAGCTTGGGCAACACAGTAAGACCCAGTCTTTACAAAAAATTTTTAAGTTAGCCAACTGTGGTGGCACATGCCTGCAGTCCTAGCTACTTGGGAGGCTGAGGTGGGAGGACAGCATGCGCCTAGGAATTGGAGGTTACAGTGAGCTATGACTATACCACTGCAGTCCAGCCTGGGTGACACAGTGAGACCTTGTCTCTATAAAAAATTGTTTTAAATGGCTTCCTTTTGTATTTACAATCTAAATGCCTTTATTGCTTTATAAAAGCCTCTGCCTAACTCTCCCAGCTTCATCTCTCTCCTAACACTCTTTCCTTTTGTTCACTTCACTGGAGTCCAACTGATTTTCTGTCCCTCAGATATTCTAAGCTTTTTCTCACATCAGGGTTTCTGACCTCATTTCCTGTATCTAGAATTATCTCTCCCTCCTGTCCATAGCTGGCTGGCCCTTTGTCTATGCTTACATTTTAGTTCAAATTTTAGCTATGTGGAGAGAGCATCTCTGGCCACTCTAGCTAAAGTAGTTCTGCCCCTCAATTTTTTTTTTAAGAGACAGGGTCTCATCTGTTGCCTAGGCTGGAGTGCAGTGGCACAATCTTGGTTCACTGCAGCCTGGACCTCCTGTGTTCAAGCAATTCTCCTCCCTTAGTCTCCTGAGTAGCTGGGGCTACAGGCAAGCACTACCACGGCCGGCTAATCTTGTATGTTTTGTAGAGACTGGGTCTCGCCATGTTGCCCAGGCTGGTCTCAAACTCCTGGGCTCAAGGGATCCTCCTGCCTCAGCCTACCCAAGCGCTGGGATTACAGGCGTGAGCAATGCGCCTGGCCACCTTCAATTTTTTATAATGTTTTCTCTTCCTAGCATTAACCACTCTCTGACATTATCTTGTTTACAATGCCTCCTACACTGAAATGTACATTCCAAAAAAGGCAAGCATCTTGTCAGTCTTGTTCACAACTGTATCTCCAGCATTTAGAAAAGTGCTTGGTACATAGGTACTCAACAAAATAATTTTTTGAATGAAAAGAGTTTGGTTCGATTCTTACCCCTTCTTTGATGACACCAGGAAACGCAGAAATCTTGGAAGAGTGGCAACTTGCCCCAAACCCACAGCAAGTCTGTGGGAGACTTGTAACTAAAACTTTAGGTCCCCAAAGATATTAAATCAGGCCTCTCGAGTTCCAAACTCAAACTCTTGATTTTTTGTTTGTTTGTTTTTGTTTTGAGACGGAGTCTCATTCTATCGCCCAGGCTGGAGTGCAGTGGAGCAATCTCGGCTCAATGCAACCTCCGCCTCCCGGGTTCCGAGTAGCTGGAATTAAAGGTATACGCCACCACGCCCAAGTAATTTTTGTGTTTTTAGTACAGACAGAGTTGCATCATGTTGGCCAGGCTGGTCTCGAACTCCTGACCTGAGGTGATTCGCCCGCCTCCGTCTCCCAGAGTGTTGGGATTACAGGCGTGAGCCACTGCGCCCAGCCCTAGATCATTTTTTAGGGAGACATAAACCAGTGTCAGGAACACAGCCTGGACATGGTGCAAAAGACAGTCACGGAGATGCACCACCCCGCTCCCCGCCATTCATCCCTTTGGTTGAATTCAACTCATCCCTCTGCTTGTGAATCCTAATAGCCCTTTCGACTTAGGGCTCCACAGTCCGGGTATGCGTTGCCTAGGTTACCTCGCATCTCCGTTAGCCGGCTGAGAGCCACGCCCAACACCTCCTCTCTAAGATTTGATTGGCTGGCTTTGGCAAGGCCGAGTACTCACCTGGCAGTTCCCTCATGAGGTAAAAAGGGCCACAGCCAGCTCCTGACTTGTCCGCGCCGGGAGGGGCCGTGGCCGCGGTGGGAGGCGGAGCCGTGCCGGGTCCCCCGCCCGGAGGAGGCGGTGGCGGGGGTGGAGGCTTTCCTGGTCCGAAGCCTAGTGCGGTTGGGGGCGGTGGTGGGTCAGCCTGAGCCCCGAACAGCGCCGTGAAATTCTCCATCGTCCCCTCCGCCCCGGCGCTGTCTCGGTGTCTGGCGTTGGTAATTTTCATTGGACAATGCCTTTAAGGAATACCCACCTCTTTCTCAAGGAACCGCTTGTCATTGGATGCCTCAGGCACCGCCTACCTTGTTTCAACAACTACTTCCGTCGCTCTCTGAGAACGTTCAGGAAGTGCTATTTAACCTTATTAGAGTCTTCTGCTAGCTACGTTAGCTACAGTCCAATAAAATGACTTAAGCTGATAAAGCGACAGCTAGACCAACCAATAAAATATTAAGTTCTTTTTTGGGTTCTGACATACCACAGCGTTGACAGAACTACATCCGGGTTTAGAGGCCGTACGTTTGAGATGTAGCCCAATAGCAGTCGCTATGGTGGGGGAGGCGGGGCCGGACCTACGACGCCGGTGAGCAGTGGCCCTTGCGGCCGAAAAGATGGCGGTCTTGGCTCCTCTAATTGCTCTGGTGTATTCGGTGCCGCGACTTTCACGATGGCTTGCCCAACCTTACTACCTTCTGTCGGCCCTGCTCTCTGCTGCCTTCCTACTCGTGAGGAAACTGCCGCCACTCTGCCACGGTTTGCCCACCCAACGCGAAGACGGTAACCCGTGTGACTTTGACTGGGTGAGCGTCCCGCGTCTCAGTACCGCGACCTTGACTGTCCCTGCCCTTGCAGGTGCATCTGGGAACCCTGGGGTTTACCTTTCTGAGGACACCTGAGGTTCCGAGCCTGTAGCGGATTTAACAGACTGTAAAGTGCAGAGTCCGAAACATCGTCGAGACTAAACTTTGTGTTTAATATGGGAAAACGGAACCTGTTAGTCGTAGCCCTGTACAACGGCCCAACAGCTTCTGACTGTTGAGTCCAGGTTTCTTTCCATTTCACCATTTAGACTAAGAAACAGCCCTGTCAAAACTGTACATATACGTGTATAGCATCTTACAGTGCCGCTCATTATGTAAAGCCTCCTGAGGAGCCAGTAAGGTAGGGAAGGCAAGTAGTAGTAGTCCTGTTTCATTGGTGAAGGAATGGATCTTGGTATATTTAGGCGACTTGCCCCAGGTCATGCAACTAATGAGTGCCTGGGACTTGAAACTATTCTTGTGGCCACACTACCTGCACACACTGTCAGCCGTTTCTTAATTCAATCAGCATTTCTAGAGTGTACACTCTAGGCACTCTGCTTGATCCTGAGGATGCGAAAGTGGATAAAATTTTGGGGCTACTGTAAAGGAATTGTAAAAAATAAGTTGTAAAGAAATCTTTGGGCTTTCTTTGAGAAGTGTCCCAAGCTCCTTGCTGTGCTTCCTTGGAATGGGTGGAGGGACTGCTCAGAACATGAACTTAAAGCACTTTACCCTCTGCTATATAGCATGTAAGGGCCAAGGCAAAGCTTCCCCTTAGCTCTCTGAGGGTTTGTTGAAAAATCAGCCGACAAAGGGCACGTTAATAGGAGAAAGGCACAGAAATTTTATTTTAACGTGCATAGCATGAGGGAATTGAAGGAGAATGACCCAGTGGGGTACAGAGGCTTATATACCCTTCTTCATAGGAGTATGGGAGATGGGGAAATGTGGGTGATTTTAAGGTGGATTGTAAATGACTTTTAGGGTGATTCAGTGGCCTGGAGAACATACAGTGGCGTGGGACAATGACTGTTGGGCCTGCAAAGCAGACAGTGGTTTCTGACAAAAATCTGTCCGGGTGTGTTGACAGGCTTCAGTCTTTCTTCCTGTACTATGAGTTAAGTTAATGAAAACTCAGGGAAGAGACCAGAAGTAATTGTTTTCTTCTTTGACAGGTCTGGACTTTAGGCAGATAAGGTAGTTATCAGAGTAAAGCTGCTTCCAGTATCTGCTGGTATCCAGGGACCTTTAATTTAAAATAATTAGCATACAGGATGCCATATTTTGGGCTGTGAGTCCCTGGTCTCCTTTATTTCCTTTGTCTGAAACTTCCTTAGAAGTTTCCCTATAAAAGCTGAGTTGGTGTCTGTGGAGAGAGAAATTGGGCTAGTAATTGAGCGGCAAAGGATCCCATTAAACCAGTCTCTCATTTTGGGGGATAGGCCAGTTCAGTTAAATTTCTGTGTCTCCTTTCAGGAGATGGCATTGTAGATGAGTTCTCAAAGCTAGTCCTCTATACATGATGTAGGCAAACAGATTTAATAAGAGAGACATATCTATGGAACAAGGCAAAGCTTAATATCTGGTATAGCGTATAAACTAGTTTCTTTAGAGTCTGGAGGGCAGTCAGTTGGGAAGATCAATAGCAATTTATTTTCCTAGATTGTAGGTTGTGTGTAAAGTTTGTCCAAATATAAGATGTTACGGTGATTTTTTTTTTTTTCAAAGACAAGTTGACTAGCTTTAGCTGATAAGGCCTTAGGAAAAAGGCAGGGTTTTTAGTTTTTTGGGGTTTTTTTGAGACAAGATCTTGCTCTGTTATCCAAGCTGGAGTGCAGTGGTGTGATCATGGCTCACTGTAGTCTTAACCTCCTGGGCAAAGCCATCCTGCCACCTCAGCCTCCCAGGTAGCTGGAACCAAAGGCATGCACTACACACCTGGCTAATTTTTAAAAAATTTTTTTGAGGTGGGGTCTCTTTATGTTGCCCAGGTTGGTCTTGAACTCCTGAGCTCGAGGGATCCTCCTGACTTGGCTTCCTAAGGAGCTGGGATTTACAGGCATGAGCCACTGCGCCAAGTCAAAAAGAAGGCTGTTTTAATTTTTAGTGATTCTAAGTCAGAAGAGTGGGTGAAAAATGGAAAACATTAGTCTGGAGGTTAGCAATTTTATGAGTCCAGTTTTATTTTCATTAGACTTTGGAAATTTTTACCCAGTCCAATGATGCAATTTCAAAGTTATCAGAAACCTGTATTTGTCAGAATTCTTCCCATGCTTTCCAAGAGCCTCCTTGAAAATAAGACACTTGGCCAGGTGTGGTGGCTGACATCTGTAATCCCAGCACTTTGGGAGGCTGAGGCGAGTGGATTTCCTGAGCTCAAGAGTTCGAGACCAGCCTGGCCAACATGGTGTAACCCTGTCTCTACTAAAAATACAGAAAATTAGCCGGGTGTGGTGGTGGGTGCCCGTAATCCCAGCTACTCTGGAGGCTGAGGCAGAAGAATCACTTGAACCCGAGAGGCAGAGGTTGCAGTGAGCCAGGATCGTGCCATTGCACTCAAGCCTGGGCATCAAGAGCAAAATTCTGTCTCAAAATCAATCAATAAGTAAAATAAAAAATACATATAATATATATAATATATGCTATATATTAATGTGCTTTTAATACTAATGCTAATTTTAATAAACTTTACAAACAAATCTGTCTAATCTTGATCAGCTTTGACTACACAAGATAAAATTTCCATAAACCTTTTATAACCTCTTAGAATTTGTTTTCATTCTTTCTTTTCTTTCCCCAGCTTTTTGTTGTTGTTATTTAGTTTTTATTTCATAATCATAAACTTAACTCTGCAATCCAGCTAGGCATGGAAGGGAACAAGGAAAACGTGGAACCCAAAGGGAACTGCAGCGAGAGCACAAAGATTCTAGGATACTGTGAGCAAATGGGGGTGGAGGGGTGCTCTCCTGAGAGGAGAGCACAGAAGGAATGGTCTGGTGGTTAAGCTAAAACACAAGTCAAACTTACTAGAGTTATCCACAGTCAGCAATGGTGATCTTCTTGCTGGTCTTGCCATTCCTGGACCCAGAGCGCTCCATGGCCTCTACAATATTCGTGCCTTCTTTCACCTTGCCAAAGACCACATGCTTGCCATCCAACCACTCAGTCTTGGCAGTGTAGATGAAAAACTGGGAACTGTTTGTGTTGGATCCAGCATTTTCCATGGACAAGATGGCAGGACCTGTATGCTCTGGGATGAAGTTCTCATCTTCAAATTTCTCCCCGTAGATGGACTTGCTACCAGTGCCATTATGGCGTGTGAAGTTACCACCCTGACACATAAACCCTGGAATAATTCTGTGAAAGTAGGAACTCTTATAACCAAATCCTTTTTGTCCAGTGCTCAGAGCACAAAAGTTTTCTATTGTCCTTGGAACCTTTTCTACAAACAGCTCGAAGGAGACGTGGCCCAGGGGCTCACCATCCACGGTGATGTCAAAGAACATGGTGGGGTTGACCATGACTGATAGTACAGGGCTCCCGGTGGTGGCGGCAAAGCCTCTTTGCTCAACTTTTTATATCTATTTAGTTTTATCTATATCATTGTTTTCCTCCATTCATTTATTCTGAAACAACCCCCCCCCCTTTTTTTTTTTTGAGATGGGAGTCTCGCTCTATTGCCCAGGCTGGAGTTCAGTGGCGTGATCTTGGCTCACTGCAACTTCCACCTTCTGGGTTCAAGTGATTCTCCTGCCTCAGTCTCCCAAATAGCTGGAATTTCAGGCACCCACTACCATGCCCAGCTAATTTTTGTGTTTTTAATAACGACAGTGTTTCACCATGTTGGCCAGGTTGGTCTCAAACTCGTGACCTCAAGTGATCCACCCACCTTGGCCTCCCAAAGTGATGAGATTACAGGCTTGAGCCACCACGCCTGGCCTGATAATAAAAGATTTAAAACAGCCTAAGCAACATGGCGAGACACCATCTCTACAAAAAATTAAAAATTAGGCAGGCATTGTAGTGCGCGACTGTAGTTCCAGCAACTCAGGAGGCTGAGGAGGAAGGATCCCTTGAGCCCAGGAGGCCTAGGTTACAGTGCGCTGAGATCCCTCTACTTCACTGCAACCTGGGTGAAGAGTAAGACCCTATGTCAAACAAAAAATTTTTTAAAAAAGATTTTTTTTTTTTCTTAAGATGGAGTCTCACTCTGTCGCCCAGGCTGGAGTGCAGTGGCGTGATCTTGGCTCACTGCAACCACCTCCGCCTCCTGGGTTCAAGCAATTTTCCTGCCTCAGCCTCCCGAGAAGGTGGGACTACAGGTGCCCACCACCATGTCTGGCTAAATTTTGTATTTTTAGTAGAGACGGGGTTTCACCATGTTGGCCAGGCTGGTCTCTAACTCCTGACCTCATGATCTGCCTGCCTTGGCCTCCCAAAGTGGTGGGATTACAGGGGTGAGCCACTGAGCCTGGCCACAAAGGATTTTTAAAAAGAGCTTTCTGGTCAGAAGTTGGCTTAACTAAAAGCTGATATTCAGGCTATAATTTTTTTTTTTTTTTTTTTTTTGATAGAGAGTCTCGCTCTGTCTCCCAGGCTAGAGTGCAGTGGTGCAATCTCGGCTCACTGCAACCTCCGCCTCCCAGGTTCAAGCGATTCTCCTGCCTCAGCTCCTGAGCTGGAGCTACAGGCACACGCCACCATGCCCGGCTAATTTTTTGTATTTTTAGTAGAGACGGGGTTTCACTGTGTTAGCCGTGATGGTCTCGATCTCCTGACCTCGTGATCCAGCTGCCTCAGCCTCCCAAAGTGCTGGGATAACAGGCGTGAGCCATTGCGCCTGGCCAGTTTTTTATTTTAAAGGTTTTCTGCTTTTTCTCTTTTGGATCTTTTGGATCTCATGCCCTGGAAATTTTTTCAGTTGACTGAAACCCCCTTTAAAAAAAAAAAAATTATGTTTAGTCCTTGTGTTCACTTCCTTTCTTGTTGGCATGATC